CTCTCTCTCTCTCTCTCTCTCTCTCTCTCTCTCTCTCTCTCTCTCTCTCATTTTTATGAAATTTTCTCATGTCTATGCATCTCCTGGATGGTTGAGGTGACCTAGAAGAGGGTTCCATCTTAGGCCTTGATAGCAGATGACAGACTCTTGGATCTTCTTGCCATTCTTCCATATCTTTCTATTACCCCCTTCCTTGTTCCTCCTCTCTTTAGAAGGGAGGATCGATTTTCACTCTCTCCACATGTGGAATGCTTGTAGTCAACAGACCTCTGTCCATCAAGGAAAATCACTTCTGAGCCTCAGTTTCCTTATTTATACAATGGGAGATCACCAGAAGGTCTAACCTATTTATCTCTTGATATGAAGACTAAAATATAATAGTGGGGCCAGGCATGATAATGCATGCACCTATGGTGCCAGCACTCTGGGAGCCTGAGTCAAGAGGACTGCAAGCTTCAGCCTAGCCCAGGCAATTCAGCAATTTACTAAGGCCCTATCTCAAATTAAAAATAAAAGGGCTGGAGATGTAGCTCAGTGTGAAGGCTCTGGGTTCAAATACACACATATGCACAAAGGATATGAAAGTATTTTTTGTACTGTAAAGACTCATAGACTCTTCTGCTTAGGCAGACGCAGCAGCCAGGGTTCCATCTCTGGTGTGCTGTGTTGGCCCCACCCTCAGGGCACACTGAGATGGCGATTGAGACTGGCATGGTGGTGCCCACCTGTAATCTCAGCTCTGAGGAGGCTGAACACAGGCAGATCACTATGAGTTGGAACTATGTAGTGAGACCCTGTAGACCCTGTACTAAAATACAAAAAACAAAACAAACAAACAAAAAAAAAACCCAAAACCCCTCATGGGCTATCTTTATTACTAATACCTAAAAAGAAGACACCCTTGGGGCCAACAAGATAGCTCAATGGACTAACGTGCCTGTTTAGGCAAGCTTAGGCAAGCACAGGGACTGCGGCTCTGTCCCCAGGATTGCATGCCATGCTAGCCCCACCCCCAGGGTGGGTATAGTGGTACACACCTATAATCCCAGTGCTGGGGAGGCTGAGATTAGGAAGATCACTATGAGTCTGAGCTGCATAGTGAGACCCTGTAACAACCAAGTACATTAACATAAATTTAAAAAAGAAGACACCCATGCAAGGGCTTAGAAAACATATGCACCATTTATTTTATTGTAGTATAAACTTTTGTTTTTTTGTTAAAACACATGAGTAAGAAATGTTTCTTGCTTCTTTGCCCCATGGGGCAGCAGTAATGGGAGTTGGGGAGTTGGTGTGGGGCCTAATGATATCCACACACCCACAAGAAGATGCAGGCCATGCAAGGACGTGGTCCACTCCCACAATTGTTTGATGTGAATTTCACAACTCATCTTAGGGCAGATCACAGAAAAACATGGCAGAGGTGGTTGGCTTAGTCACTGTAAGAAACCAAGGAGCTCCCAGCTGCAGCCCTCTCTTCTCTTGAGAGGTGTGTGGATTCTGGATGTTTCTGAGAATGTCTCAGTGAAGGAATCACTATACAGTGTCCATACTTGCCTTCCATCAACCTTGTTTAGGACGCCAGATGTAATGTTTAAGGATCACAATTTGGGTTAAAAAAAAAAAACAAAAAACCCCAGTGTAGCATCCTCAGCTTAGAACCAGAAAAGTAAACTTTTCTTTATTGTGTGTTTCTTGCATTAGGATAGTTATGAAAGTAGCATGGATTTCTCCTCCAGAAAGAGTGGATTAGAGGCAGAGAATTGACCCCCCTGCCCCAGAACACTGGTACCATTAAAGTCCACCATTACCCCACTCTGTGAGCAATTTTCTCCACTTAGCTCCCATGATAGAGGTCTGAGTGACACTGGTGCCAGGGGGACTGGTTGGAAAGAGCACAAATGACCAGAAGGATTCCAGCTTCCCTGCCCCATGCAGGGTAGACTGAGCTCTCTGGCTAGGAATCCTGGAGCACTGGAGTGAGGGCAGCTGGGGAAAGCTCGAGAGCTTGGAGCAGGGACCTGTTGCTCCTGGAACCTGAGACCTGGTTTGCTGGAGTGGGGAGGCCAATCCTGTCAGCCGCGGGGTGCAGAGTCCTCTGAAACACGGCCCCAGTACTTCCCCATGCCTCTCTTGCAACAAGAAACAGTCAGTAACGGTGGACTACCTGGGTACTGGGTATGGCTCCCCATCCACTCAGAAGGGTCATCCCGGGCCAGAGCATAGGTCATCAGTCTAATAGTTCACTCTTCTACTTAATCACTCCTAGTCTTAGGACACATTCCTTTTTGTCCCACTGGTCAGTGGCATTTTTCAGAATCTTCCCAAAGCCATCAAGATTCTATAGGGATGAGGTGCTGGCTGCTCTGACCTGCAGTTTAATGTTTCCAGAATGTACTTGGAATAATGCTGTCCAGGGCAAGCTCCAAAGACTTTATAGTCCCTGCCTGCCCTTCATCCATTCAGAGACTGACAGGCCAGATTGGTTGGTCTCCCAGGAGCCAGACCCCTACTGCCTCTCTGCCGGAGTTGAGGAGTAAAGAGAGAAAAGGGCTCAAGAGTCATGAATTTGCCATCATATTTATCAGAAAACAGGATTCTGGACACTCAGTGGACTTGAGTGCAGCTTTGGGTCCATCTTAGCCCTGGGAGTGGGCAGGGCTTCTAGAAAGATGAGCCTTTAGGTTCTGAGGATGGTGCCAGACCAGGAAGGTCCTCAGTGGGCTCACACTGAACACGGGGGGGTTCATTGGGGGTGATTAAGGTCTCCTATTCTGATCCAGGGAGACCTGGGTTCACAGCCTGACTCAGTCACTGACGATCTGTATGAGTTTTAGATTCGAAAAATCCCTTAACCTTTTAGAACTCAGTTGCATGTTCAGTAATGATCTCTAAGTAAGAGAGAGGATTGCACAGGACACTGTGTGTCAGATGCTTAAGACAATGCCTGAGAGCAAGGAAGAGCTTGAGACTGGCCTGGAATAATTGACTTCACTCTGACCTGAGCCGCATCCATCCCCCTCCTTCACATCTCAACCCTTTCACTCTTGTTCTGTCATGAGCCCACTTGCTGCTCACTGTCAACCTTCCACCCTTCGTAAGATGCTGTTTTCATCTTCTGACAGCCTGGGCCATTTCTTACCACATGCTCCTGGCCTCAGTATGGCATTCAAGGTCCCCTGCTCTGACCCTCCCCCAAGTCCTGGTGCAGTTGTTAACCTTGGATCATTCACTCATTGTTCAAAGCCCATGGGGACCATCACTCCAAGTGCCCATCCCAGTGGCTGAGGAAGGGAAGTATAGCATGACCAGAGACTAGAGACGGAGCTGTCCTGCTAGCAGTCTCATGCCTCAGTCTAGCCCCAGTCAGGGCTTACAGAGTGCTCCAGGGATAACCAGAGGAACAGCTTCCACACTTTCCTCAGCCTCCAGAGGGGTGGTTCAGGAGAAGATGGGATGGCCAAGAGGGTGGAGAGGGCCATTGGAGGTGGGGGCAGCAGAAGAGGGAGGAGTAAGGTGCTGTGATCTGACCCAACCTCACAGGGCTGTGACTAAACACCTGGGAGAGCAGAGTCCCAGCTGGGGGAAAGGGAGCTGCGTCTAAGCAAGGCCCATAGTTATCTCCAGTCAGCTGTTCTTAGTGGGTGAAGAAGCTGGGAGCTGGATGAAAATCAAAGGGGTGGCTTCAACAGGAAGAAAGTGGTCCAACGTGGCAGAGGGCTTTCCAGCTGGTGTCTCCTGGAGGCAGAACCCCATCAATCAGAGCAGGCGATGGAATGTGGCCCTTGGCCAACGTTTCTGGGCTTTTCCCCCTTTCCATTCCTGCTCTGGGAACTGGCCCTCTTGGCCTGCCTTTCTTGCCTGGGACCAAGTGGCCACCAAGCATTTTCTGAAGGGGGTGGGGTGAGCCAGGAGAGCCCCCGGCCCCTGGCAGCTTGCTAGATGACTTCCTGCTTGGTGATGGTAGGCTGGGGTATGGCAGAGGGGGGCTTGACGATCGTGGCGATGGCTCCTGGCAGGAGCTTGTAGGGCTCAGACCCTGATCCACCAGGTGGTGAGGGTTGTGGAGTCTCAGGAGTGGCTGAGGGACAAAGAAACAGAAGCTGTTCAAAATTCTAGGCTTTGGGGGAGTAAGTGAAGAGGCCTAGGAAATTTTTTTCTTTTCTCTGAGACTTAATTTCCTCTCTTAAAAAAACCAGAATATTAAACTAGATAATCTCTAAGATCTTGAATGGCTTGACCCTTCTACAAGTTCCAAATCATAAAATTTAAGTTTTGTGAGGCCTGGCAGGTTCAACAACCCATCCCCTCCACCATTTCATATGGACACTTGGATGGCTTCTCCCAAAACCAGTCTGTGGGTTGGACTGCCCCATGACCAACCCAGTGAGATATTTGATAGGGATGGTCTCTCTTGGGACAAAGAGTAGCAGTTGAAGGAATCTGGGGTTAACTGGCACAAAAAGTACCATTTCTTTGATATTTAGGAAATGAGTAACAGAAATTAATTGGGTCCACTCCCTCTACAGGTTTGGGGAGTAACTTTGAGCCAATTGGATAACTCCATTCAATGGATAATTTGCCCAAAGAACAACTCCAGTGGAATGCCATTTCATCTGAGTGGGCCACCAAATCTCATTGGTAACCCTTATTCTTTGAAGAGCTATGTCTGGTGAGAGATTTCATCCAGGGGGGGTGGTCTTCTACTGCAATGGATATCCCTACCCAAATGATGGCCTCCTCCAGGAGTCTAATAGATGGCCTTACCCAGCTGGGCAGCTTCACTTCCATGGACACTTTGGCCTAGTAGATGATGTCATCTAATGGAATTCTCACCCATTTAATGACCTCACCCAGTGGTAGTCTGGTGCATCCAGTGGATTGGAGTATAGTTACATTGAGTAAAGGTTGTCAATCACCCCATTGAAGAAACACCCTCACTGAATAAACAGCTTGAACAAACAGAACCTCACCCCTCATTCTCTACCCTGGAGCACAGAGAACAGTTGTACCCATTTCACTTCTAGACTCAATCTTGTTGCGCCTCCTCCCACACCTCCCATCCTCACCCCTTGCAGGGGAGAGCCCATGTTGCCCACCTGCCTGCCCCCTGGGTTGGGGCCACTCACACATCTGTCCGTTGCTGAGGTGAGCGGGCATTGTGTTGGCAACGATGACATTGGTGCCCATGTGTTCCTGCATCAGGTGAGGATGCAGCGGGTGGTGAGCATGGGGGGTATCACTGGAGGACCCTGCAGATGGAGAAGAGGTCAATCAGGAAGGGGAGGCAAGGATAAGGACCATAGGCCTAGTGGCATGATCTTCCTCTGGTGTGGCCAATCTGCCTCAACATTTGCCAGAACCTAAGTGACTCCCAGTCCTGGGTTAGTAAACCAGAGCTTACCAAGTCCGTAGGTTTCGGGGTGGTGTGTGTGTGTAGCGGGGGAGTCCCAGAGAACAAGTGTGATTTGAAAGCAACAAGGAACATATAAGGAGCTCCAAGACTACTGAAATTATAATAAATACTATATTGGCTGTGTAGTGAGATGATAGATGCACTCAATGGTTCTCAGAGCTCCTTGACAGCTAAGTCCTTTGATCCCAAGTCCTCTGATCACACCTCTCCCTCAGCCAAGCAGACCAGCTGGGTGCCTCTGCTTTCTCTTGTATTTGTGTGTGCATTGTTTCATCCACCAGAAATGCCTTTTCTCCCCTCCTCTGGATCAATAAGCCCAAGTCCCACTTAGATACTTTCTCTTTTTGGAAGCTTCTTCTGATTCTTCCTACTCTCTTTCTCTTTCATTGGACTATCCATAGCAATTTATCTGTAATGCACCTTCTGAAAACAACCACTTATGTTTATGATCATTACAATATAGGTACATTTTTCTTTTCTCTGTGGGCCTAGAAAGTTTCTAGAATATGTAAATAATTCAACAGGATCAGGGAGTGATAAAAACATAGAGAGTGCGCAACAGGTTGTGGTCATTAATATGATACTGATGGAATTTTAAGCCTTGTAATACTTCTTCTTCTTCTTCTTCTTCTTCTTCTTCTTCTTCTTCTTCTTCTTCTTCTTCTTCTTCTTCTTCCTCCTCCTCCTCCCCCTCCTCCTCCGGGTCTACAGGGTCTTATTACATAGATCAGACTCATACTGATCCTTCCTATTTTCATATCCTTTGTCTTAAT